TATATATATATGTGTATATCTATGCATGCATGTCTGTGTGTAAGCATGCATGTGTGCATGTATGTGTGTATGTAGGCACGTGTGTGTTTGTGTGGTGCTCTTCGAAGCTCAGGTCTGTGTGTGTCAACATACACACACATGTATGTGTGAGCATGTGGCAATCTCTCGTCCAGTTTACACCTAGTTAATTTGCGCACAGCCACCAGTTGTGAGCCCTTCTACGAAGATTCGAAGCTCTGTCCTGTATGTTCAGAGACAGCCACAACTTGTATGATCATACAATCGCCTTTGTCGATTGACTCCTATACACCCCAAAGCCCGATAGCCCTGAACCCGGAAAACGATGAACCCTATCAGACCCCGCCGTTTTCCTCGTCGTCCCTTTTATGCACTAAACTGCATTAACCTCAACAACCGACCTCTAAACCCAAGAGACCCAGCCCATAGCTCCGGTTTGTTCTAATAGGAAGAGTGAACGCCAGATCCTTTAACCTTAAAGTTTCCTATGTATGCCAGTACCAGCAAAGGCCCGCCCGATCAGCGTTCCGAGGACAGCGAAAGCCCTGGAGGCCATCATCGATGTCCTGGAAGGGGAGAATGAAAGCATGGAGGTGTGTCGGGCAGAGTGTGCCACTCTATCCAACAAGAGCATCCCGGACAAGGAGAAAGAGAGGCCGGGAATAGCTGATTTATTGAATAAAACCGGGCAGCTAGTAGCTTAGCTTGGCAGGCTCATCAAGAAGCTGGATGATCAACTACAGAAAACCACTGTTGCGTGCCTTGTCAGCAGATCGTCTCCCCAAAGAGTGGCCAGTGATTCTCCTGTGGCTCGGAGCTGTGCTGTTGAGGTGCAGCCGTGCGGGGACAACGGAGACGACAGCCAAGATACTTACTTGCAGCTAGATGAATGTCGACAAACACATGCAGCCTCACTTGAGTCCCATGAACGGCATCAGAAGAATCTTGCCCTTGCTCCCAACAGGAACTTGCTCAAGAAGCTGAAGTCTGAGAGCTGAGTGCCATCACGGTGCTCATCGGAGCCTCCGCCCAGGGGCAATGGGTGGCAGCACCTCGCAACTTGAAACCAGTTGCTGTGTGTTTGAAGGCGTTTCGATTACGTACCCCCTGCTATATTTGGACTATGTATGTATATCTCTCTCTCTCTATATATATATATATACATATGTAAAAATCTGTATCTAGTGGGATCTTCGCACCACATACATGTCCTGGGGGGCTCGGGGCTTTAGGCCCGAATGCTTTCAATTAGGTATTGGGTGCTATACTCAACATATCTAGCAAGGTTCTAGCTTGGGCCACCTTTATCGGTTAAGGGTCTTGGGGATTTAGGTCCGGGTGCTTTCGATTATAGGTACTGGGTGCTATATATTTAGACTACTTTCATCTAGCGGTGTTTTAATTTGGGCCACATATATCTACTGGGGTCTTGGGGCTTTAGGTCCGGGTGACATGCCTAGCATGGCATCCTTCCGTGAACACGCGATTCTAAGCGTGCCTTTCTGATTTCTGTGCTTCCAACAGGCAAGCATGTGTCACCTAGTCACGAGTGTGCAAAAGCTCAGCTCACGTTCGCCTGTCAAGTTCCAATGGGGTGCAAGAGAAATGGCTACTGTGCCACTGCTGCAGCTCAAATCAAAGTGGCATCATGGGTTTGTGTTGCCAGCACCGCAAAACCTTATGATTAAACCCCTGCACTGTCTCCGAACATGCCAGATTCGGCGCCGGGGCATCTCCTCACGAAGCTTGCGCACCAAGTGGCCAATGGTGCCGGGGCCTTGGATAAGAAGCTACGAACAGCCTCGTGCAGAACCTTGATAAGACTTTCGTTCCTGTTGTGCCACAATGACTGTGCTGCTGATGCTTGTTTGTGGGAGCTGGCAGTTATGGAGACTCAAGCAAGGGCCCACGCACGTGTTCGGGGTGTTGGAACTTTAATAGATATATAGTCCCAAATCGAAGCAGCAATATAATGTTACCGCCGAGTTCTGTCTTCCAGCCGCACTGTCACCAGTGAGTTCTGGATACCCCACGAAGCATGCTTCCAGGCAAACTAGGTTAGTATTGTCTTTGATGACAATCTAACACTTCTCAGCTTGTTGATAATTGTCTGTGTCAATGGATGATTTCTTCCGGGAGCTGCTGACCTATGACTGCCCTTTCACGGGGCGAAAGAGATGTGCGATTTCAGCCTGCGATGATGCGCCGATAAAGCTCCAAAGGACTTCTGCCGAGTACAGCATTATGTTGCAAGCTCCAGTGGTGCCGATGGTCTGTGTGATTCTTGCATAGCTCTACATAGAGTCCTGCAAGGACAAGTGCTGCTCGTGTTGAAGTGAACAAGAACGTGGAGCTGCAGTCTATAGGGCAGGAACGACCAGAAACCGCAGTCGAGTTGCCTCCAGCCTGCCATCATTGTGATTCAGCAAAGCCTCCGCAGCTTCAGCAGGCTAGTCACACATGACATTCCGTGTTCCCGATGCACCAACATGTGCCAATCTAAAGTCGCTCTGATGGCAGGATGTGATTCTGTCTACATCGAGAACTCTGCTTCGACTTGCAGAAGGCTTCTCTGGGCAGCCCAGTGAATGGGAAGCCGTGTTACCGTTAGGGATCAGAAACATGTCCCCGCCGTTGCGAGTGCCTGCACCCACGTGTGGCAAGATACTTCTAAGGTGTAAGACTCATGCTGCTGCTTTTCGAGAACACATCGGTGTGCAGGTATGTGTTTTCAAAATAGGTGTGACAGCCAACGTTCCACGAAGGTTTAGTGCTTATCTAAATCTGGGCTTCACTGCAATGTGGATACTGCACACTGGGGACGAAGTAGGCTTAATTCACATGCTGGAGGCTGCTCTGATCGCTGAGTTTCAGAACTGTACAGGTTGTCGGAACTCCGCAAACACTGGTGGTGAGGGCGCTCTAAACAGAAAGGTTCGAGAAGGCCCGCCTTTCTTCGTGTACATCACTGGTGGGAGGGCAGATCAGGCTCGCAGGGTGGGCTAATTAATGCAACCACAATCGACCCCTGCATGTGATGCTCTGCGATGACCAAGAAGCTGCTAAGAAAGGTTGTGCCCGTGTGAGCTACA